ATATGTGCGCATATAAAGCAAGTTATCTTTTGCCAATTGGGCAAGTTGCTGCATTTTACAAAATACATTTCTCCACAAATGTGGGGAGTGCGTGGGGGACAAAACGGATATGCCTTTCGCCGTTGTGCGGAATATGCATTCCCATTCAGTGGCACCGTTCGCGTGTGCGATTGAAAAAGGTGTTCATTCGCAACTTGGTAGATATACGTGACACAAATGTGTTACGCCCTCTGGCCCAAATTACTTGTTTTTTTTTTTTTTTTTTTTTTTTTTTTTTTTTTCCTCTGGCACGGCGGCGGTGGCTCGGCGCGTCTGCTGAATGATCAGTGTTTGTAAAAGTTGTAAACATCATTTGCGAACAGGTTTCAAATTTTAACAATTTTTTTAATTTTTTGGAATTTTTCAAATGCTCTATGCGAATGACGCAAAGACGGAGCGGAGTGGACTAAACAACATTGTTGCCCACTTATAGGTGTATGTTCCCCCGAAGGGAGCAAAAATGGAAATGGGTATATGTATTACAGGGTATAATATTCCGCCATGCGCACGGAGGGGGGTGGGGGTCTCCCCCATTTGGCACACCTCAACTTGTGCGTAACGCAGCGAACGGTACGAATGAACAAGGGGTACAAACGTACTGGTATTATAGTGGTGAGGATACGAATAAAAAAAAAGGCGCATCCGTAAATTTGTTCTTAATGATGAAATGGGGTGCAGGCTATAATGGGATGATCAAATGTTTACCTCGGCAACGGTCTTAGGGGAGGAAGTTAAAATGCGTAGGAATAAAGATGATTCCTAAGTCCTGCAAAGAGAGTGCTGAAGCTAACTCGGGCATTAACCAAAAGGAGGAAGTTAATCAAATGGGCGCAGCAGTTATTTTGCACAAGCGTATTTATTATGGGCATAACTTGGCTCCTCAATAATGAGCCGCCTAACCGATCAGTCTTCTCATTTGAGCATGTTAAAAATATGTCATCGTGCTGAAACGTTAAGACGCAATTACAGTTGGCCAATTTTTGGAGCATGTCCGTAATATATACATACATGGCTTCATGACCAAATGGACCAATGTACTTTTTAAAATATAAATTCAACACATAATTTGAAAGGGCCTTATCCACATCCTTTTGTAGACGTACGTAGGTTAAAATATTCTTCACTGCTTCGTAACAGTTGTCATTTTTGTCTTGGTATATTTTTAAAAAATTCAAAATGCAAATTTTTTGGAAAAACAATGTAGCAATTTTCTCTCCCCTTGGGACTTTTCCTTCGTTGGAATAAACACTGTAGTAATTATTTATTTGTACAAAGAGCCACAGGAGGTGATTGACTAACGGTTGGCTATTCATATACGGTATTATATTCTCCAAATATTCAAACGTATCATTTACCACATGTTTGTATACATAATGGAAAAGAAATTCGTCCAATTTTTTTATTTCTTTTAAGTTCAAGTTGAGTAAATTTGCCTGAACATGTTCATACACATTTGGGTTACTTGCGCGCAGGGAAGCGAGAAATATTTCGTTATGTTGATGAAATGTTATTGCATTTGGTGATACATTGGGGGGATTGCCATTGCGTTCTCCTCCATGTAGCATCTCATAATCACTACGTATACGTCTGTGCAATGTTGAGAGTAATACCACGACTTTCTCCGCATTCAAATTGGCTCGGTTAGACAAATCCTTACTCGTGATGGCGCATTTATAAAGGTACCCCATGTACGACAGCGCGTAGATATTATTAACATATTCATGTGTTAATTTTATGAAAGGGATTAAGACATTTGCGCCGCTTCCATTATCCACATGATTTATAAAGTAAAGGACCATATGTTGGAATTTTTTTTGTCCTTTCAAAATGGAAAGAAGGGTAGGCAGGTACTTTTTACAGGGTTCACTTCCGACCGCAATGTATTCATTAATGCTGCTCAGAAATGTTACATTTGGGGGGCAATTTAACACCCCAATTTGGTCTCCTCCATACTGGTGAGTAGCTACATGGCTGCCATCAGCGTGACGGGTGCAATTTTTTGGCTCATCTACCGCGTTACCCGTCTTGCTCATGTTAGGGAGTGACGCATGTGTGGGAGTCGCCCTGTTCGTCTCACCCACGTTGTGAACATTCTCACAAGATTGGTCAGTAATGCCACAGGCAGGTGGTTGCTTCACCCCCATGCACTGGCTATTCGAATTACACATGTCCGCGTAGTATGCACGCACCGCGTCTAACACGCGTACGCACTTGGCCTCATTGTTGGACGCTTCCTGTGGGCAGGTCCTCCTTCCACAGTGATGATCAGGGTTGGTTTGCTTCAGCTTACCCTCGATAAGGCTGAACAGGTGACACTGTAGTCGGTCCCGCTTTTCCTTTTCTCCACACGCATATATGTGTTCACCCACTTGCAACAGCATGAATAACTTGTGGAGGGGTAACTGGGCCAGTAAGGCAAAATTATTCCATAGGAAAAGGCCAAACTTGGAAAAGTACTTGAGGCGGGTCTCGTCCAACAGGGTTATTTCTCTAACCCCAGACAGGTGATAAAAGCATTTAATTATAGCGTCAAAATTGTTCAGGTCATGAAGAGACTCCTTTCTAATTTTAATAAGAGGAGAAGACTCCCCCTTTAAAATGGATTCCATGTTGTTCACCTGTAATGACTCCATCGACCTTTCAATCACTTTAAGGAAAGGATCGAATAATTCCTTATGACACAAATTGTACTTGCTCCATATGAATAGTATTTCCTCAATCTGGTTTAGGAGCAACTGTTGTCTCCTCTTGTAGAACAAATGGGAGGTGTATCTTGTGAGTTCCTTTGCCACGGTGCGAATTTTGTGCTGCGCGTGCTTGGTTATGTGGAGGGACGGCGAACACTCACCGTCATTATATTCGTAGTGATAATAATTTTCCTCTTTTCCAAAAGGGGGTTCACTCCCAGTCACTTCATCACGACAAGCGACCGCATCGCGGTGAGCGACTCCATCACGGCACGTCACAGAGGCAATGGGACGCCCCGCTACCCCATTTCCGCAGTTCCCCTCAAAGTAGATGTAAAATAAGTGAATTAAAATCAGCTCACTTGTTTTGAAATTATATATATTGTTAATGACGTGGTCGTTTATTTTTATTAAATGCTCTACCTGGACGCCGTGCATGATGAAACTGTGTAGGGTTAGGAGGACTTGCTGCGGAGTCAGCTTCGTTAAGGAATTTATCACATACGAATAGACTTCCTTTATGTTGCCTCTACTTACAAATTTGTTTCCTTTTTTTCCTTCCGCATGGTGGCTAACGACAACTTCATGGTACCCATCCATGGAGTTCTCATTTCTGAAATAGGTGAGCACATCATCGTTGTACTGACCAGGCGCTTCATACCACATGCCTTTTCTTCTCCCTACTTTGTTAATGGTTACATTTTTGTACAGGTAGGAAAAGCCCAAATGGATGATTTGCCCCTCGTCTTCGTGGCTCATGCTCTTTTCCCTCTCCTCACTTGGAATGACATGTTTTATTAACCTAACGAGGTGCGTGTTATTTTTTAGCTTACTTTTTAACTCTCTATTGGTGATGATGAAGCGGCAACAACCCACTTGTGAGAATTTTTTTTCTTTGGCAAATAATACCTGTCTTTTCAGTTTAATTCGGGGCAGCATGGTGTTTCACAAATTTGCCTTCTTAAGGGTTTGGCGAGAATCCTTCCCGTGCAGGTATACATGGAACAGGAGTTAATGCCGCGCTTCTTGTATTTGTCATTCTGTTCTCTCTTCTTCCTTTTGTGGGGTCACGGTTAGGGCATGGGGCTACCGTCGCTCGTGCACAGTTGCATAAAAAAAAAAAAAATGTCTGTCACCCCGCACGCACATTAGCGCGTTCATACGAACTCACATCAATAAGCAGCATAGAGCAGTACAATATAACATCGGTTATGAAAGAGAACATATAAAGGGCACATATGAGAGCACATACATATGTGGGGAAAAACTCCGTGGGTGATGTTCCCCCACAACTAGAATGTATTCAGTGGGATGAATCTCAACCTGAACCCAAATTATAAGCGCAATGGGACGAGGGAGGCGGGTAAAAAAGAACGCATCGCAAAAAGTGCTCAACCTCAGGTGCGGGAAATTCGTAGCTGCAACATTTTAAAAGGAAATTTGTTTTTTTTTTTTTGTTTTTTTTTTTTTTGCGATAAATATATAACTTGCATTTTAATTTTTCTCCCTTTCGCATATTCGCCTCATTCTTCTTCTTCTTTTTTTTTTTTTTTTTTTTTTTTTTTTTTTTTTTTTGTTTCCCAATCACATCAATTGTTGAAAAAAAAAAGGCGATTATTTTCTTTCCACTTGGATGAAAACGTACTGGGGGAAAATAAGAAAAACGCCCCCCCTCCCTTTTCTTAAAAAAGTCCCTAGCGCATTTTTAAGAACTTTATTTTTTATATGCTCAGCAATGAGCTCAACAGGATTTTTTTAAATGGGTTACCCCGCATTGTGGTATGCCAATATAAGTTGCCTTATCCGTACTTGTAATAACATTTGTGTATCATATTTTTCCCCTCGGGGGATCCACCCTTTGGAGCAAAAGTACACTTGGTGAAAAAGTATTTTGTTCATAAAAGGGTGAGGAGGGTAGCATAAACTTTTGTAGCATGATATAGAGAATTGTGTTTATAGTGGCCAATACATATATTCCTGTTCCGTGCTGTTTTTTTTTTTTTTCTCTTGTTTGTAACGACCGAATAGGTTTCCCCGACCGTGTCGTTTTGGAAGAATTTAAGAAACATTCGCCTTTTCAAATTGTAGAGGTAGGAAATTATTTGTCTACCACAAACAATACAACTGCACTCACCCGGGCCGAATGTGCGATTGGCTCTTCCTCTCCTGGAGTTTTCTACATAGCAACCATTTTAAACAAAAGTATAGGGAACAAAACAAAATAACCCCTCGATGGTGGAGCAGAACTCCCTGCCCGATTAAACAAGCACAAAAACGTGTTCACATAGGAACAGTTAAGAAGGAACAGAAGCCGCTTTTCCCTTCCAATAAAGGATAAACATCCATTTATAGCTACAGAAGAAGAAGAAAAAGAAGAGGAAGGAAAGGCTACCTCACTGGGCAGCGCCTGAATAAACCCAAAGTAAGTGCCCAAAGGGGGGGAACATTTATACCGTTGTGAATAATTTTGAAGAGCTCTATTTTTTGTAAGCAGGTCCTAATTGCAACGCGGCGCGAACATTCCCATCTGCTTATACACGTATATATGTAGGCAGGTAGTATATATAGGACGGTAATATATATAGGCACGTAACATATGGGTAGGAATGTGTTGAGGGAGAGAGCACTGCAACAAGGGAAGAGATCCACGTAGAGACATACCATTTTGGCAAGCACCCAGTGAAAGCGCTACGCTTGAATGAAGACAAAACCCGTTCCACACCATTTAACGGAAGGCTCCCGTTAACGCATATTGCTCTTTTTAAGGAAGACGCCCCTGCCGCCTCCCCATTCACACGAAAGTACACACATACACACAAAAAAAAAAATTACAAGTCACCAAACGAAAAGATGAATTTTTTACGCAGCAGGAAAGGAGATGAGGGGAAAAACACAAAGGACACCCCAGAGGAGGAAAAGGAAAAAAAAAAAAAAAAAAATTTTATCAAGGTTGCTTTCAACTATATCAAATATTTCCTAGACAATAAAGTGAAGAGCAAATACAAGTATTCCTTTTTTATGGGGTTATTTATAATTTTTTTAATTTTTAATGGTTTTTTTCAAAAGTTGTTAGAATTTTACCACACGTACTTTTATAAATTCGAGTACATTGACGTATCGGATACGAACAAATTAAAAGAAATTTTTTTCAGCAACAAGCCCTATTTGGTATATTGTAAAAATGATAAGCAGGAGATTATTCACCCAACGATTAATTTAAGTAGATCGAGTTTTCCCGATATACTTAAAATTGCCATTATTAATTGTAAGAGTTTATTACCCAGCCAGCAAACAGTGTATGAGCGTTTTTCCATGGACCCTGAAACAAAAGCGTTCATTGTTTGCTACGGAAGAAAACCCAAACCAATTACACAGGGACTAATGAATAATAGGAAAAAATTTGTATCTTTTGTTAGAGAAGCATTAGTATTCAGTGTGCCATTTTTTTCAAAATTTCCTCAATTTCAAACCAAATGTTTAAATAAAAATAAAAAATGCATTTTATTCATTTCTGGAATTCATATGACAAATGCTAGTATAAAATACAATTATATTAATGACATTTTTGTTAATAATAAATATTTTGACCTAAGTCCGATGATAATTGATAATAGGAAATTTTTGCTCAAACTCAGTGATGAAGTATTTTCTTCCTACGACAAGAAACGGGATATTCATGTGCTCTGTCTTTTTAATTCCACCGAGGGACAGGAGGATAATTACTATGGGTATTTTTACAAGGACGATTTTGAGGACTTCAACAAATTGTCTTCCTTCGTCGCGGAGTGTGTAAAGTTCACTAGCAAGAGCACTGAGCTTGTGAAGCTTTCTGCCGTCCCGCAAATTAAGTACAGATCGAGCAAGAACAAGTGATAGTGCGATGGATCAGGTTGATATACTTTATGCAAAGAGTTGTTTTTACATGAATGTGTCGTTACCGCGTTTAATAATGACACCCATTGAGCAGGAGCAGTATAGAAACTGTTTTGGGGAGAGCGTCTCCTTTTTTTTTATCAATTCGTCACATTGTTATTATTTTTTTTTTTTTGCTTTTTTTGTGAAAATACGTGTTTGTACTTTCTTTAAGCCAACGCCACGTGGCAAATTGTTTGTCCTCTCCACCTGCAACACTACTCCTCTTTGAATAATTCAACTGAAAAATTTTTATTAATACCTTTTAATTGCGACTTTTCAAAAGGGGAATCGTTAATATCGCGCTGGGTACACACATATAGAAGCGTGCGCGCAGCGATGCAGTTACACATAAAAAAAAAGACTGAAGCATGGCACACGTGCGTTCAGGCGAAGCGATTATGATAATAGTTGGCATAACCCCAGCACATGCGTGTGTCGCCCGTCCGCTGGCAAACCAATGTGAACAACAAAAAAAAGAACATAGCAGCCTCCCCGACGAGCACACCGCATAGCGTTTGAGACGTACCAGATGATTAACACGCACAAATGTGTGGAGGCCCTTAAGTGGGCACCTCCCCCAGTGTAGCGTTCATTTGAATGGGCCTTGTTGTGCGATATTACTACATGTCACAGAACATGCTATAGGGAGGCACTGGATTTACCCCGACGTGGATTTACCCCTCCACTTTGTCCTTTTCTGTCCGCTCGGTCTCAGCCTGCTGCTCCTCCGCTGGGTTACCCACAATTCTGTTATAAATATCTTTAAAAAAATTGGAGTGCGTAATGTTGAAGCTTCTGCTATCACGCACATTTTTCCTATTGGGAAAAACGACGTTCATAATTTCGTCATTTTCCTTCTGCAATTCCAGTACTTGTAATTTTAGCGTTTCCAGCTTATGGTTTAAAATCATTTCCTTTTTTGCTTCCTTCAAACTATTCCTTTTGTATTCTGCTACAATGATTAGTGCTGCCACGAGGAAAATGATTGTCTCTCCTAAGAGTTCACTTCCTACATTAACGGACTTGGTCTCACTTATATAAGAGCTATAATTAACGTTGGTGGCATTTGCATTGTAAAATTTCTTCTGAATGTATTGCTCGAAGAAGTAATATTTTTTTCCACAGTATATACATATGCTTTTGAATTTTTTATTTTCTATCGCTTTCTTTTTTATGTATCCTGATATGGGTTTGCTTACTTGTCTTATAAGAACGATTCCGATTTTGAAGAATGGAATCATTTTTGGCGTGGCAACGGTTAGCGGCTAAGTCCCTTCGTGAGGTGGATTCCCCCTCCCCCTATGTCTGGAGCGAGAGACACATTCCTTCCCCCACCCCCTACCTTCTTTGCGGGGTATATATCACAAATTGACTTTCCACTGACGAAGGGTAAACGGGGTGTGCAGAACAATGTGTCAATGGAGAGGGTCCACACTTTTTCCGTTTTGCTCTCCAAATATATGTAAACTGTCGTCTACGCTTGTACGAGTACAAAGGAGGTGTGCGTGTACAAGGTAAAGCTCTTTCGTTACGCCTGCATTTTTTTCTTTTTTTTTTAAATCTGCATTGGGTGTATTATTTTACCCGTTTATGGGAAGGGGAAAAAAGGTCTCTTCATTTCTCATCTTCAATTCTCCTCCCGCTCGTTTTCTTTTTTTTTTTTTTTTTTTTTTTCTCTCCCCGCTTTGTTACTGGGTTCGTCTATGTAACACCCTATGCGAGTAAAAAAAAAAAGAAAAAAACAAAAAAGGTTTCTTTTTCACTCCTTTTCTTCCTTTACATAATCAATCCCTAATTAAAAAAAAAAACCTGCACAACGCGTTTTATTTTCCGATTTTTTGATTTTTTTTTTTTTTTTTTTTTTTTTTTTTCAAATGTCGACCTGCTTTTGAATGATAAATAATATTTTTTCAACACTTCTTGGGATAACATTGCCTTTTTTTAATAGCAGCTATTTTTTTCCGTGCCGCATGACCCGCTGCTTTACCGCCGTCACATCGCTAACTTATCGCTGCCACTATTTCAATATCATTACCCACTCGTTAGTCTTTTTTTTTCTTGTTTTTTTTCCCTTTTTTTTTTTCTTTTTTCCGGGGGGGCTTTATCTTCATAGCGCAGCTTCATTGAAAAGAAAAAAAAATAATACAAAATAACCGCTTGGTAAAGCAGCAGGGGAGTGAAAAAGGATCAACGAACAATGTATATTTATTAGTTTTTCTTTTTTTACTTCTTCCCCCTCTTTAATGAATCGTTACCCATTCGGCACCACAAACTTATAGCAGCTTTAAAGTGGAGAATAAAAATTCCTCATATCTCCACATGTGGCAACATATATGCAATTCTACATACATTTTTGTACATATAAAATACATGAAGTTTTTTTTTTTTTACTCTTTCCCCGTGCACATCATATAGAGGGTTCATACTGTATGCAGAAATAGAAGCACAATATTCGGTTATCCCTTTATAATGAATATTCTAAAATAAAAAAAAAAAAAAAA